CCCCCATCTCCTCGATGTCGTCTCTGATGATGGAAGCTCGCATGCTTGCGGCGGATACCACGTGGCAGCTGATCAAAGGATGAGGAAGAGGCACCATGCATGGGACTAGTACTCCGTTCCGCTCACGAATGTGAACGGTGCGGTGGTAGAAGTTCACCGGGTGATCCTCGCTTCGCAGCCATGACATGCCCAAGATCATGTCGAATTTGGTGTCCAGAATGTCAAAGGACACCGCCTCACTTGCGTGAGGGGCAAAGTACACTGGGACGTCATCAATGCACCGGTCGATTGACTTGTGCGTGTGACCGTCCGCCAACGTGACTTTCGTAGGCTCGGGCTTCCTTCAGACGCGTGGGCCAAGGCCGGCGCGCACCATGAAGTCCTGGCTGATGTAGTTGCGAGATGCTCCGCAATCGATCAAAGCGCTGCGGGTCGCTTCTCCGATCTGAATGCGTACATATAGCAATGGTGCGTCAATGTCGTCGTACCGCTGCGTCTTGAACTCGCGGTCGATCTTCGCAATGTAGGCGTGAAGGTCGACAACCTCTCCTTTGGCGTCCATCAACAGGAGTCGGTACTACAGTGTGCAAGTAATCTCGCAATTGTGCCATGAGCACGTTGCAATGCGGTTTCAGCAATCGACCGGTCAGGGGAACGGGCATCCACTGGAAGTCTGTGAACGTCAACGGGTCGAGCTCTTCAAGTCTTGACCATGACGTCGAGTCCCTGGCGATAGATTGCGGCGAAGCTGCCGAATCGGTTGCCGATGGTGATGAAACCGTGCATGCGGTAGATTGTTGCACGTGGAGCGGTTGGTCCAACGGTGGGACCAAGTGGACAACATAGTCCTCGTAAGTGTACCGAGACCTTACGACATTCGCATCCTCCCCAGATGTGTAGGAGGCCGCTAGCAAGGCGGCCGAATTTGGCAGAGTGGAAGGTGGAGTCGCCTCACCTCCTGCGAAACTCAGTTTCCCGAGCTAAGACGAGGCCGCACATCCTCCTTGGCCTGATTCTGGCAAAGGGAGGTCTTGGGCTTGGTGTTGTTGCACCAGTAACAGCAGCCGTAACGACCGCGGTACTTGTACTCGGCCTCGGTCAAGTTGAACTTGACCCATGGTGTTGGCTGTCCGTTTCCAGCCTGCGATGCTGGTTTCGCCTTCCCGTTTACTCGGGGCATGTTGTTGCTTCGCGGCTGGACAGCAGCCACCTGATCTCCCTCACGTGACGCTTGGGTGGCTGCCGCGTCTTCTCCACTGTCCGATTGGACTGCAGCGACATGCTGCGGTCGTGGACYAGTCTTTACCTTCTCCACATAGGTCGGCTGCCATGTTGACCACCCGTGTGAAGCCGCCCTATTGGTCTTGATGATCTCTCTCGCCTTGTCAATAATCTCGGTGAMAGTTGCATACTGCTCGCGATCACCAAGTGCCTGGCTCAATGCAGCGCATGACCTGTTGTAGAACTCACAGCGCAGATGCAGAAATGGTACGTCAAGATCGGGCGTTGCCGCGATCTTCTGCCATTCCGTTAGCCAGTCACGTGTTGCTGTGTTGCCTTGAGTCATGGTGAAGAGACGGTTGATGGCGAGTGCTGGTGCGTCGTCGATGATGAACCGCTTCTTCCACAGCCATGTTAACTCTTCCCATGTGATCTTGTCTTTCAGATCTGCGACGTCGACGCCGTGGGTGGCTGCCAGGTGGGTTAACCAGATTTGGCATCCGCCCTTTGACTTCATGAACAGGGCGCTGATGTACGCGTGCTTGGCGACAGGCAGAATCCGAAGTTGCGTCGTGAAAGCTTCCCGCCAGAGCACCGGGTCCTGATGMGTGTAGTCGTCGAACTTCTCAAGTTGAAAAGTTGGCATCTTGTATTGCTTTGGATTGTTGCCATCCGTGTTCATCGACTGCACTTGCTGGACCTCGGTCTTCAAAGTATCCAGCTGATTGCTGATGGTGGTCGGCCCAGCGAAGGTGCTGATGTCGCCGAGCATTGCGACGACGTGGTCGACGCGTTGCTCCAGTTGGCGGTGAGAGGGTGCACTACTGGACTCGCCAGTATCTGGTCCTGGTATGGCTTGCTCCAGGTCCAGTACACGGGAATTGAGTGACCGTGTAGCATCCTCGTGGCTCTGCACTATCCGGCGGAGGTTCGCCAACTCCTGGTGCTGTGTCTTCAGATCCTGGTACTGTTGCTGCAGTTCCTGGTTCTGTCTCTCTAACTCGGACCGTTGGTAGTTGCAAGCGTACAACAACCGTGTCACGAGTTTGGAGAGGAACTCCTTATGCTGCTCTTCCGGTGTTGCGTCGTCGCCGTTGGACGGTTCAAAGTGCCAGAACTTGAGTCTTTCGATGCCGCTGCAGCAGATCCTGGGCCTCCTTGYGGCGTGCCTGGGTATSTGCGTCTGCTTCGGCCTGTAGCCGCTGCTTCTCAGCTGTTGCCGCTGCTTCAGCCTATAGGCGGGCAGCCTCGGCTGCCAGCTGGCGCTGTTCCTCAGCCTCGATCAGAGCGGGCTGAGCCTGGAACCGCTGTTTGTAGTCGGCAAGAGACTCGTTGGCCAGTTGGCCTGGCATGCCCAGAGCTGCGCCCGTCATGGTGGCGGGGCRCTGCTGACGTGGCACTGTGACGTGGCACTGTTACTGCTGACGTGGTACTGCTGACATGGCACTGCTGACGTGGCACTGTTGTTGACATGGCACTGCTGACGTGGCACTGTTGTTGACATGGCACTGCTGACGTGGCACTGCTGATGTGGCACTGTGTAACGTGGCACTGCTTGGCAATGCTGACGTGGCACTGTGTGACGTGGCACTGCTGACGTGGCACTGCTGACATGGCACTG